GTTGACAAGTGGTGACGGGGACTGTCCTCCCGGCGGTTGGTGTAGGGGTCCGCCCCCCTGTTGTTGACAGTTGGTATTGGGGACTGTCCTCTTTTGCTTTGTTTTTATTTATTTTTTTTCAGTTTTTTTTTTTTTTTTGTGTGGGCCCGGCCTCCAACGCGGAGGTCTTGACACAGAGCTGTTTTTAACATGGGCAGCTTCCAGGGGCAGCTTATTTATACGGGGCCGCCTCCCAGCTGTCTTATTTATACTGGGCCCGATTCCCAGCTATGCGATCCGTGGCGCCCGTCGCGAAACCAGAAACCGCAGCCCCAAAACGACAACAAGGAAAGAACACCGGAAAACCAAAAACAGGGGGACGGGCAGCCAGCCAATCAAGGCCCGGGCGAGTTTAGAGTTCGTGTAGGTAGCTTCGCGCGCGACCCGCAATTAGGCCTGCTCAACTGCCCCCCTGCAGCACCCGGCTTGCCGACGCAGGGGGCCTCCGCTCCTTGCCTGCCTTGGGTCAGGGTCATCCGGCGGAGGCTCAGCATGCGCACAAAAAATGTCGCTGATGCACGGCGGGGCGCCGTCAACGTTGGCACAGGCGCAGCCAGTAAGCTAGCGGCATAGGCCCGGGATGCAGCGGCGAGCAAACAACACAATCGCCTCACGTATGCCGGCTCAAGGGCGATCTCCGGAGAACACCTGGGCCGAGCAGTGGCTAGCTTGGGAGAGCAACAAGGCCAGGATGCTGGATCAAGGCCGTCGCTGTGGGGCGCTAGCCCTACGCAAATCAAGCACTGCGGCCGCAGCCACCCTCGCCAAAAGCTCGAAGCATCCTGTTCGACGTCAGGCGCGTCGTTCCCAAGCAAAGCACGCCATGACGGCGGCTCGAACCCTAGCCCGGTGAAGTGCGCACTGGCCGCCTGCAAATCAGCTAGAATCCGGACGAATCCGGACTGGACGCGCTCGGCCTTCTGGCTGATCCACAATATCTTCGGCTAGGTCTAGGTCACGGTTTCGGATGGCGGGCAAACTGTCCGCACGAAGCCTACGTGCGCCTCGGCGGGGCGCAGTCCTAGCCCGCCATGCCGCAAGGCCAACTTCGCAGCGGCCTGCTCAAGAAGTGGGCCAGAGTTGGCACCGAACAGTAAGGAGGCTACGCTGCCTCGTCATGGGCGCGGGCAAACTCTGTGCTGTGGCTGGGGGCCACGGTCCGGAGAGCATAGTTGGACCTGGCGACGCGCAGTACACCAGCCGACTTGCAAGTCTGGAAGGCTGACATGACTTGCAACAAGTGTTGCTGTTTGTCACGCACAGTGTCGAGCTGGGCCCGAACAAATGCATCCGAACCGACAGGGGCTCCCAGGATCGTGATCCCTTGGTCGGCTTCAGGTATGTGCGCACTCCCTCTCCATACCCCCTCGTCATGGCCTGTGCAATTCGGTGAGGCTGGCCACTGTTGTCCGTCCACACGTAGCTAGAGGGCGTGCCGTACCAAAGGGGCGCATACGGTAGCAACCGGCAGGCATGCGGAGTATCTTTGAGGGCCTGAAACATGGCTGTGCGACTGACATGGGCGTACGCCCCTACGCCATCCACGGAAAAAAAAATGTTGTCTTCGGGCACGAATCCGTGAGATGCTGCAAAGAGCGGACCAGCGCCTCCGAGCCCGACCGGGTGGACAAGGCGTACTGGAAAGGACGACGGGCCTCATCAGACGTGAAAACTGCTGGGCGAAGGCGCGGCACTCCTCCAGACTTCTTTTGGAGCGCCACAAGCCGGCCAAGGCTCAACCAGGATGCAAACCGAGACGGGGCCGCCGCTCGGGCCAGGCGTGCGGCGACTCGCACCAAGACATCGGAAACATCTGCTTCATCCCAGCACAAGTCGCAACATCTCGGCTGTCAAGCCGCTGGGGCCCGGCGCCGCCCCGCGGCGCGACCGCCGCAAGTTTGCTAAGAACAGCTCAGGCACGATTTCGGCCGGGCTTTCCATCTCCCACGTCAACAAGTCAGACGGCGTGGGTTGGTATGGCTGGGTTGGGCCCGGCGCCAACGTCTCGGACAAGAGCGCTTGTCGGGCAGAATAGCTGTCAGCGCCTTCCGGGACTAGGCGGGCCGAGCTCGGCGCACCATCGGCGTCAGCCGTTCCAGTGCTGGCACCGAAACAATGCGAGGCTGGAACAAGTTCCTCCCAGTTGCCTCGGACAAAAACCTCGAAGCGGGCAAGCAGCTCCGGTTTGGGCACGTTCGCATTGCTCGGGGGGCGATGCAGGAGCAAACGAGGCAAAAACATCCATAGTTTCCAGGTTTGCTCTTGCCGGGGCCCTTCCCCATTGGGCGTGTTAAGGATGAGTTCAAAAAACATTGGGGCGCCTTGCGAAAGGCGAGGCCGGGCTCTAGGTCGGCGCGAGGCCGGCTGATGCCGGCTGCTCCCATTGCGTCTGAGCGGGCTGACGAGCGTCACACCAACCGCGACCTGTACGCCTCCGAATGCCGGGGCTTATTCGCGACGAGCTCGAGGCGCAAAGAGTGTCCTTCCCCGGAGCCGTACAGCCGTCGGCCCCTGCCTGCACAAGGGCTCCAAGCAAACCTAAGAAGTTCTGTTCCATTTTTGTGGTGCGTGTCCCAGGAAGCATAACTTTCATTTGGGACCTGCCCAAGGGCTGAAACATGTTTGAAATGAGGCTTGCCGGTGGTTGAGGGCCAGGGGAGCATTGGAGGGACTGTCCTTCCCTCTCAGCCAAAGCAGCCATTTCCAGGAACTTTGGGCAGAGCCTCAACAAGCAACTAACGCTCAAGGACAAGAACAGTGAGGGCAGCCAGGAAGGCGAAAAGAGAAGGAAGACCTTGAGGAAGCTGAGGCTGAGATCTTGTCATGAGGATTAAGAGGATGAAGAAGCTGCTGCTGAAATTGAAAAAAGAAGGCAGCCGTGATTCCGGCAAGCAAGAAGCTCACACAAATTGCGAGCGCGTCGTCGTGGTCAGTGGCACGCAGCTGTTTTAGCCGCGGATGCGCGTGTGGTGCTGCCAAAACGTGAGAGCCACAATCGTCCAGGAATGCCTATGGGGGACACAAAACAGTGGGAAAACGGTATCGAGGGCCCCGACCCCGTCGACAGACAAAACGATCTCCTCGGGATCAAGCCCAGCTGCTGAGGTTCAGGCATGTGCCAAGGAATCGGCTCCGACCCAAGTCCGCAGTACCTGTGTGTGGGTGGAAGCCCTCTGGAAGGCCGTGTGCGGGAGCAACAGTTCGGAGCTGGGCACGGGCCAGGTGTGGAGCAACATTGAAGCAGCGCTCAGAGCCGGCCCCGTGGTTGGACGTCAAGGGCCGCAGGAGGAAGCGAGTCGTGGTGCGCCAGCCGGCGCGCTCGGTGCGCAGCACTCACGGGGTCGCGCTCAGCCGCCACGTTTTGCTTCTTCGTTGTTTTCCCCACGCCGTTTTCCAGCAGCACTCTGCTCGGGCTTGGGCCTGATGCAGGGAGTGGCGCGCGTCCAGGAGGAACGGTTTCCAACGTCCCTTGGAATGCGGCGAGGCGGGCTTGGCTCTCCGATTTCGCAGGCTGGCGTTCGCTTGCTTTCCTGTGGAACAACATGCTGGGCAACAAAAACCAAAGCTTCCACGCTTGCTCTGCCGCAAGCGGATGGACAACGGGGTCCCCAGGGTCGAGGACTGCTTGGCCGATTTGACGTTTGACGAAGCAAGGAAGCAGTGTCCGGCATTGACTCGGGAGCCTGCGTGTGAGAAAGCGCAGGCGGCACGGGGCGCCTGCAGCCGACACTAGGCAACACGCAAGCAACACACGTGCGAGCGACGTGCTGGTCTCCATAAAATGCCGAGCAATTCTGAGACTGGTTTTCTGTTTGTTTTAGGCGTTCTCGGCGCGTTGTGTTGATTTGTGTGATTTGCGTTTGCGCCTGCTGACGCACTTGCGAGGCGATGGGTCGTTTGCGTTCAATACTGGCAGAATAATGTTCCAATCGTTTGAGGGTCCGGGGTGTTTACTTCCCGCCGTATATTCGCGCTAGTTTGTCGGAAAGTGCGACGTGACTCCCAAATGACGCCAGTTTGGCAGCACTCGGGCGGTGCTGGAACCGGTTGGGTTTGTTCTTTCAATAAAGCCTCACGTTGGTGCGCGCTGCTATGCTCCGCGCTGACCGCGCTGACCAAGGAAAAAACACAAGGCATGGTGCGAATGCTGCAAGACGGAGGGCAAAGAAGTTGCATGGGGGTGATACTTGAAAGGGGGCGCACCGACGCCCAAACTGTATCAGCTCTGTCTGACTTCGGAATGTCACAGGCAAATCCAATGCGTTCCATTTCTCCACCCAACGAAAACCAAAGAAATTGCTAAAAGCCCAAACCCAACCTCTCCCCCCCCCCCTTTCGGGAATTGGATGTGAACCAGCATCCCTCGTCAAGTCGTGAAGGGGGATGCGACGGCAGCGACCAGCGGGTCGACACGCTCTCGTCGAAAGGCGCGCGTAGAAACCAAGCGTCATCCCCACGCAAATGGAACAAACGGATTGCTTGGTGGACTGATGTTCTCGGTAAACGGTCTTTGGATGTGCTTTTTGTGAATGTCACCTGTTCTTCCACTTGCTGGTCTTTTCTGTAGTCATCTTGTAGACTCTTTCAAACATCTACAAAGGTGGATGCACAGGTTCGCCGCATCCAAACCGTATTCTAGATGATTGGGGCCCAAGACTAGAGGCTCCTTTTAGGCTTTTGCAGCTCTTCCGCAGAGACTCCTAGACAGCTAGTTGCACTTGAGGCAATGGGTGTGTCACCTGCTGCAGGTCGCCCTCTTTTTCCTTGGATCAACGGTCGGTACAGGCTGGCATAAAGATGCGCACAATGGCTTCATCCCGCCTGAACGTCGTTTTGCAAAGAAGTCGAAGGGCTGAACACTCACTTGGAAGCTCTTCTGTCCCAACACCACTGCCACTAGCTGTTTCTTTTGTTTGTTTAACCAAAGGCTTTGGAAACAGCATGAAACACCCACATATCAATGCAAGTGGATGTTTTTATCATGACCTTTGCGGCACACCGCCACCGAATTCAGTGAGCCCATGGGCTACACTTCGTTTGCGCAGTTGGCTTCGCCAACAGATCGGCGGCACTTTGGCCGATGCGGCACTGCCGTGGCAGGGCCAAACGTTATCGGGGGTGAGACGTTTGGAGCGTCTGTGAGACGAGTCGACTCGTGGTGCGCGGACTGTTTGTCAGTGCGTGTGCCTGGCAAGTGAGGGCATTTGTCCGGGCACATCAACGAAATCATCCGACCACTGTTCAGAAAGTTGACTCAAGATAGTTTCGGACAAGAAAGAGATCAATGTCTGCGAGGGCAAGCCGGCCGCAAACACTTCGCCCTGAGGAACTGCCAGCCTCCAAAACGTAGCGGTCTTCCAAGCTCAACTCTCCCCCTAAGAAAATCAGCAACAAGAAAAAACTACAAAACAAACATACTAACAAACAAAAATAGTTTGTTGGGTCTACAAATAGGGGCATCCCGAAACCGGTGATTTTCCTCGAACTTCTGGTTCAAAGCTAGACCCCGAACACAAACCGCAGGTGTCCCAAAGTGAAATTAGTGGAACTGAATGACACCTATGACCTATGACATGTCACCAGAACCAACGTGAAACGAGTTGAATCAATCTATCTTTGAAAAAAACTTCACCAAGCAGACCCGAGGTTTACGCGTCATGACATGCCACTGGTGCACGCGACGAGGGCCCTGGCGCCTCAGCTCCTCCATCCGGACTTCGTCTCAGAGGTGTGCTGGGCCAGGCCAGCCACTTTGGCCCACATGGAGCTCTCCTCATTCCTCGGCCACGCGGCCATGGCAGGCTGTTTCGGACTCATTGGGAAGCCACTGACTTTTGGGGCTCCACATCCATACTGTGGATGGTTGCGAAATCCTCTTAGGCACCACTTAAGAAACCCTGGATCGATGATTTTGCTGGAAATGCCAATAAACAATGGTTTCTCATGGCTTCAAGCAGGATTTTGTCCATCCATAGTATTCCCACACATGCCCAAATACGCTTTCGCCCAACTGTCGTGCAAAGTATGTCCCTGAGTGGATTGGCAAAAAAGTCAGAAATGATTATTTTACCACTCAAATGGCTCAGGCCCACAAAGTTTAGTGTCCATGAACTTAGGCAGTGAGTAAGCCATGGTCAAACTCCTGTTCATGGTGGCCATGGTTCCCTGGAAAAGAATCCTTATCATGGGCTCATGCGCTAAAGCCCCTGTGAAGGCATCGATGATCATCCTCACCCCCTGAGTTCAAGGCTCTTTTGACCAGAGCACATATTGTGCCTGCTACTCCAAAAGCCTACAAAAAAGGGCTTCCAGTGTTCCAGAGGAGAAACCTCACACGGAAAATGCGGGTTTTGTACTGCTTTTTTGTGGGTTCTTCGAGTAGCAGGTGGGTGTAAAATTCTATCAACGATTTGTTGTTCGACATCATTGACCCTGAGATTCACGTCCACCATTTCGCAAGGGTTAGCAACTGGTGAGACATGTCACACTTCCGAAAGCTGGAATCAACAAGGACATACGAGCGTGAATCCCTTATAAACCGACATCATAACATCAACTTGAACTGCGACATCAATCAGCATCAACCGCAGTTTACCCAAACCTGAATCACTCTCAACTTCAACATCAATAAGCTCAACCAACCAAGCAATCAAGCAACGACCGACCAACCGACCTACCGACCCACCGACCCACCGACCGACCAACCGACCAACCAAAACTCATCAAACCAACTTCTTCATACCTGGATCCATTCAAACACCCAGAAATTTCGGGGCTAGTCGCTTGAATCTGCCAACCACGAATTCACCTTCAGCCACCGTCTCTCCAAGCGCCGGGCGAGATGGTGACCTGCTCCTCCGGTTGGAACCTCTGCAGCTCTCGCGGAGGCCAAGGCCTAAGCGAAGTACGTGGCCAGCTTCCATTTGCTTCGACCCCTGGAATGAAGCAAAAGAAACGTATTTTCCAGTAGTGGAACCCAGTTCCTTTTCAACACCCAAGGGAGAAACATATACTTAAACAAATTCAAGCCAACAAAGACACCATCCCAGATCCACATTAGAGATCCAATATCTGCAGAAGGTATGATGCTCATGGGACCAAAAAGGTCCGACCCCTCCTTAGATGCACCCTGAAACCCTCAAATAGCTAGATGTTCGAGGCCAGAGCAGTAGTTGCGAGCATATCGATTTGCCAAATTGTGGGACCTGGAAACCTATGCCAATCCGAAATGCGAGAAACACCACTTCAACGGCCCTCCGTTGCAAGACGTGCACTTGGAACCCGTGTTTTACCTAAATTCCGTTTAAACAACTCAGAACCAGCAAAACTTTCGCACACAGAGCCGTACTTGGAACCCGGGCACGTCTCACACTCAGCACCAAACAGGCCAGACTCTAGTTCCAACTAGTGGAACTAGACAAAAGACCAGCGTCGTGTTCCACCAGCCTCCTATCCACATCAACAAGTGTTGGAACAAACGTTCCCTTCAATCCCAACAAATCGTGGGAAACAGTTCCACGGTGTAAACATACAAATAAGACCGGCGCTATTGTTCGAACGGTGGAAGTTAGAGCACGTCTGTCACCGGAGCAAGCGGGCTTGTTTGAAGCAGCATCAAGCACCCCGGGGTCCGAAACACAAGCGAATGAAACACCACAACAACCAGCGCTTGGACCAACAAAATCCCAACCTCAAATATGAGATGGCGTCTGCGAATGGCGCTCTGCAAATGGCCCTTGTGTTTGATGCATTTTTAGTAATGTTGACCCCATATTCATCAACCCCCAGTTTATTAATAGGGGGTGTCCCTGGGTATAGTGGGGAATCAAAAAACTTTTGGAGGGCCCCCCCTCCTATGAATAAACTGGGGTTGATTCATCTGGGGTCAACATTACGCAAGGTACATGGCAGAATTCCCCAAATGTTACGGGCATGATGCAACCATGGGAGCATTGTGGCACATGGGTGGGGGGTGTTTTGCAAGGACCCTTTACGGGGTTGGTTTAAAGGGAAGCCAGCCAAAAATGCTTTCACCCGACCGTTGTCATGGTGCAAACTTGAAAACAAACTGAGAGTCCACAATGTGAGAAACGGGGGTGTGTCTTTTTTGGGAGACAAGTTAAATGATGTTGGTCCTTGAGGCTTCCCCCCCAAACAAAAAAACAAGAAAAGGCGTGCCCCTCCCCCCCACCACCAAAAAAAACCAACAACAAGAAAGGCGTTGTCCCCGCACGCAAAAAACAAACAAACGTCACAGACGCACCGAGTCGTCCCCCCTTTGAACCCGACTCCAACCAAGCGGAGCCGAGTCACAGCGGGGACAGCTGCGGCAGCCTCAGGTTCCGCTGGGCCAGGGTGGTCTCCTCTGGCCTCGCGTTCGGCGCTGTCGGCTATGGAAACCCAGGCTTTCGGCGGGATCCTGTGGACGGACAAACAAAGCCCTGCTGGAATAGATCAAATGATGACCCCTCCGCAAAAACCAACTAGGTCCTCCAGTAGTTTGAGGTTAGAATAAGTTGGTACCCGATGTTTCTTCTTTTTTTGCCTATTTTAGTAGGGGAACCCTCCCAACCAAAAAAGGGGAGAGAAAGAGGTTAGAATAAGTTACTTTTTTTCAGTCGTCGATTTTAGTAGGGGAACCCTCCCAACCAAAAAAGTTGTAGAGAGGTTAGAAGAAGTTAGTACCCTATGTGTTTCCTGTAGTCTATTTTAGTAGGGGAACCCTCCCAACCAAAAAAGAAACGGGAGAGAAAGGGCACTACTGGGGGACCTAGCAGGCAACCGACTCGAAAACTTTCAGGGAAAATCCCCAGTGAGCTTAGACGCTCGGATGGGGTAGCTGCAAATTCATGACTCAAATGCCCAGTGGCCATGGGAAAAAAGGGCATCCCTTTTGGTTGGTTGAATTCAAAGGGGTACCCTTCCCCAAAAAGAAGGAAACCGGGCACCACTGGGCAACAAAGATGAATTGACATTGTAGAACATTCAAGTGTGATCGATGATCACATTGTCGATCTTGCAACATCTCCAGACGCCTATGGGTATGACACCTGGATACGCAACGAGGCTTGTGTAAAGTGTATCATGCCTCAACAGGAATAATTTGGGATAAGCCTACCTTACACTCTACTGATAGAGCCTTTGTTTGAACTCTACAAAATGGAGTACCATGACTCCCTGGTTCCCTGACTCCATCTTTGCTTAGTGCACGGCTGCATGACTTGCTAGCAATGATGTGTGCAAACATCTGGCAGGCAGTCCCTGCGAAGTGAAACGCGCGTGATATTGTGGTGGAAGCAGCAAATGGGCATTGCAAAAACCATCTAGCCATATCACGAAACAAGCTCCTAGCTCATGTCGATCGCTGTTAGGCTGAATGAATCTAACCGAGAGCAAGGAGAAACGTTGAGGTTGAGAAGTCTATCAACTTCTAAAGGTTCCATGCAACCTTTCTGGGGGGGGGGGGGTAAGGTAAGGGAGCCTTTGGATTTGTTTTCCATAGATGGGGTGTGTTTATTTTTGCAAATACAGTTGCCCGAGAATGCGGAAACCAGGGCGGTTTTTTGTTCGGTTTCCCCGTTGTTTCCGTTTTAAGTTGGTCAAACAACGACACCGGGGCGGGTTCTGCTCGGGCAGACCCCCCTCCGAGTGCTCTCTTGGGCGCGCGGGCGCAAGTTGGCTGACGAAGATCGAGGTGGGCGGCCCGGAGTTCAAGGACTGGTCCCTGGCGAGCTTCGCTCGTTTCGCGTAACGGAAAGCGGGGAAAGCGGGGAACGCACAAAGCGTTCCGCGGCTCCAGGTGCCATAAATCTGCAAATCCTACCATACGTCCAAAAGCTGCACTAAGATCGAATCCTCAAGGGCCGAATCAAAGAACTCGCCAAGCAAGTTGTTGCAATTTTCATGGCAGCAGGTGATGCCTATAGAAGTCGAGCTGCTAGCCAGAAACCTTCTCGGAAATGGAGTGACAATCAACACCCATCGGTATCACAAGTCTACTCAGAGCCGTGGAAGGGACTAAGAAGTATCCGCACTTTCGGATGATTCCCTGGAAAAACAACGACAAACACTGGTTTCAACCATGGGGTCTTAGGTGGCGCGAGCGGATTTCGCAACCGTGCACAGTAGGAACGATATACCCTGGTCACACACCTTGTCTCTCATACCAAACCGATGCCAGGACGGTGTCTCTCCAACTTCCGGCGGGCGCCACCACAACCCCGGTAGGGATGTGTCGATGTCAACCTCCACGCTATACAGCCCCTCCTGCCAACCCAAAGGCAACGGCAAGAGGCGCAGCTTTCGAGAAATGGGTTGTTTTCTTTTGTCGTGCCCTTCTCTTGGGTTGGTTTCAAAGTGAAACCAAATTGCTGAAGTGACCAAGGAAAAGAGGGTTCGAGTGGTGGATTAATGCCTATCGTATCACGTTCCATGCTGAACAGCAACTCTGCGAAATGCAGAGTTCACTCGTACCGTTTGGGAACCTTGGGAGCTTATCTTGCTAAGGGTTTTTCAGGGTTGCTCCAAAGCCCTGGCAGCTAGGTAACTCTGGGAAAGGCTAACCCAAAACACCATTTCTGGAGTGCCGTTTTCGAGGGAAGTCTCTTGAGGGTTGGTATGGTTGATTCAAAAGGACACCAACTGGTGAAACACCTGTCACTTTTCTTTTTTTGGGCGGGATCCCCGGGAAAAAAAAAAAAACACAAACACAGCCACGATGCTTTGGTGGAGCAAGCCTGACGCAGAGGCGGTCCTCCCACTCCTCCGGCTTGCCTCCCAATCCGGCTTGCGAGCCCTCCCATGGTGGTCAGCCCAAGGGGACGCCTATGGGATTGGCGGCCCCAAAAAAGGGGCCTCAACTTGACAGCCATAGAAGATTTGGGGGCATTTTGGAGGAGTTTTTTTTATTTGGGCATATCCCATCTCAAAAACCTCCAGAAGACTCACTACCCGCACCCAAGCTCTGCTGTTTGAAGGTTTGGGGCCTCCCATGGGGCTTCAAACGAGACTATTCAAGAAGGATCCCCATCCCAGTTGTTCAGTGGCCTTCCTCCCCCAAAAATACCGACATGTGTATACTGTGTATATATATATATATATACACATAAGCCTGGAACATATCATGTATTGTACTACAGAGATGGTTGTCACCTTCCCTACATACAGTGGACGAAATCCTGTCCCACTTGGGATATATGAAACCCCATAAATAATGGGATAAACCACCTACCAACTGCTGCACGATTTTGGCCATCCACTGTATCACCCTAGTTCCGCCCCTCTCCCGCGCCTTCCGAGGCCGCGCTGCGAGGGGACCCGCTGCGCGGGGAGTTCGACCGGGGGGACGCGCTGCGCGGGGAGTTCGACCCGCGCGGGGACCCGCTGGGCGAGGCTTGCCGCCGCCGCGCCGGCCGCGCCGGGAGGCCTGCGATGAGTCGAGTCCCCCATGAGATTTCTGGAAGGGAAGGGACACTCGGTTGCTTTCTGCTCCGTTTAACTTTTAGCGGTTTATTGGAAAACCCATTTTGCAAAAAGTTAAAGTCCTAACATCCAAGCAAAATGCACCAAAGGGAAACCTGACGTGGGCACCGATCCCATCCCTCGTGATCTACCTGTTTAAAGCATTGCCAGGTCTGGACTACGGGGAGCTGATTGCGGGACATCGGAACTGGAGCTTTTTCTTTGCACTCTGTCCTTGCTTGATTGTTGGCAGTGGCAGCGTTGAGAAAAAAGGATGCACAAATTAAATATGTGAACAAGTGTCAAATCCACAGTTGGCCATAGGCTGGAAAGGTTGACCAAACCACGTGCCCGTTTTGTTGAGCCAAACAAATCAGGTTGCAATCGCTCTTCCCGCCTTGGGTGTTGCTGGCCGCAGCTTTGCGCAAGCTGCGCAGGGCGCCCTAGCATACGAAGCTGGCCGGCAAGTAAGACTGCAGGGGCACCTTCCCCATTCTTTCCAGGGGTCCTTTCTTTTAGGAAACCAATCAAAGACCAAGGGAAGAACAGCGGGTTATCGAAAAGAACACTGGTTGCAAAGAACGGTTGGAATCAACCCGTAGAACTGACCAACTCGCGGACATCTCGGAATCAAGAGTTGGAAGTCTCTTGGGCGGCTTCAAAAAGGAAGTGGCCAGAACTCGCCCGACATTCCCAAAGGGACCGGCATACTCTCTGTTGCAAGCAAATCAGCCCATTTTTAAGAGCAGCCACAGGGGGCCAAGGAGCAAAATACCAAAGCGGCCAAATCACAAGCTGCTCAAGGACAGCAGTCAAGGCTCTCTTCATTCGGTCTCGCAGTCTCGCCTTCCACACATCACTTGATCGTGGATCGCACATTGCATTTGCAATCCGATGCGTTTGTCCACACCCCGTCCGGAAGGAATGCCCTCTTTCCACTATCATGGAACCTGACTGAGGCCTCGAAAGTGGAGCAAGGAAGAAGACCATCCATCTCACCCAAAACGCCTTGTGCAGGTGTGGCGTTTTTAGGTTGGACCCTACTTCACTGGGTGGTTGATGTTTCTTCCTTTCGGTTTTCCCTTCAACCGCCAAACCGCAACCACCGGGTATCTCCCCCTGGCCCCTCGCGCGCCACGCAGCTCTCCGCCTGCCCGTGGAGGCTCCGTTGCTTCCACTCCCATCGCCTCAAAAAAAACGGCCGGTTTCAACAAACTTTCGCGGTGTCAACGGGAGCCGGGCGGAACGCAGTTGCCCCAACTTAGGGACCTGGACATATATTTGGCGATCACCTTTTGGGGCCACTCAAAAACATGCACCAAATCACAGAATCTAAAGGGTCACAATTGAGTAAATCGAGGCTGGATAGACACACAAGTCAGTTGACCAAAGGTTAGTAACCCTGCTCCACTAGATGAACACCCAAGTTGCTGGACATATATTTCTTGTTTTGTCAATTTGTTTCAACCGCATTGGAATACGCAGACAGTGGCGCAAAAACTTGCGATCGGTGCGATAGGTAGGGAATGAGGGAATGAACCTGGGGTTTCCCTTGAAGGAAACCACCAGTTGGATGGTTAGGGGTCATTCCCTCATTCCCTGCATCTCTCGCACCGATCGCAAGTTTTGTCTCGAAGTGGCCCCATGCGCTGAGCTGGCACATCTCAAGAGGCAAGTGCTCGAATTCCGAGCGGCCAGCCTGGACTCCAAGGAAATGCTGACCAAACGATACCTATGGCACAATGGGTCTCACTTCCAGTGGATAGGTCCACAAAAAACACTTTTGTGTAGCACCAATATTATCTTCCGAGAAAGTTCAAAGCCCAGGAACTCAGGAAGTGAGGGGTATACGCCTATTCCACCCTTCTCCTAAGGCACCCCGCTTCTTGCGGATGTAGATGGCCGTTCTCCTGCGAAGGAGGCTGGCAGACAGCGCGCAGGTGTCAAGCTTATGTTGGTGCGTGCAGAGCTCGCAAAGAACTGGCTTGCTCAGCTTCCACTTGCTTTTTGACCGGGAAAGAATGAGAACATGGCCAGTGAAATCGATTTCCTTTACAACCAACAAGGGAAAATACGGGCTTGTCCTTGTAAAGCAGAGTGAACAATTCCCTAAGCCAATCATTTCGCGGGGCCTAAACCCTACACTCCCTCAGTCTAACAGCCGGAAGCTCCCCCAATTGGCAAAGCCGGTTTTTGGGCTCCAAGTCTTAAGGGCTCTTGGGAGCTTCCATGGAATCGCCTGGAGGAGACTGGCATGGATGTCATTGCTCAATGTTTCGCTGCCTTCCTGACGGCGGATCTTTGCCCACCACAAGCCAGTCCATTCTTTGTCAATATGGCTATGAATTTTAATAAGGGACCCTTTGGTGGACATCAAAATTCGGTGGGGATTCATGTCCACCAATCACTTTTCAGGTGGTTCCCTATTGAAATTCATGGCCATATGTGCGTGTGGAAGCCATGGCCAGGGGAAGGTTACACGGTCCATATCAGCGTGTGGCTGAAAACTCCCGTCTGCCTGCAAATCGCGTGTTGGGGGATGCCCTTCTGGCTGATGGTTCCCTTTCAAACCTGAGAAAGGTACGGTACCCCAACAAAACAACAACTGAGCAGCCATATTAGTCAGCTTCCTTGCGATCACAATGTGGGCGATCAAGATGGCGTCCGGCGGCGGCTCTGCAGGCAGCTCCTGGCTCAGTGACTACCAAATCGGTTGAGCCTGGTCAGGACCAGGGTAAACAAAAATATAGATGAGCCACAATCAAAACCCGGTACTAAAATGGTGAACCCAGAACCACGCAAAGAATAAGAAGGCGGCCGCAGCTATTTATGGCTGGGATTGGCCCTTACTAACCTTCATCTAGCCGGGTTTTGATTGTGGCTCAGATGGCACAATTCCCTTAGTTTGCTTAAGTAAAACATCGCTAATCCGAAATGGATTTGGATTTGCCATCTATTTTCACCCAACTGTACACGGGTGCCAGCATTTGCCCACGACTGCTGTTTGGGTAGCCACGTGGTTGTGGATATTTGAAGGAGTTGCTGGAGTGTGGGAGTGGACGGACTTTTTCGCTTTTCAACCCAACCTGAAAACACGACCCTTGCAATCCGAACGTTTTGGCTCCCAGCTGCAAAAGATGCCGGACAATTGGAAAGAACACACGCCCTGGTTTGATTCATGGTGAAGTCTGAGAGTCTTCCAAGCTCAGGTTCTTTCGTGCGAACGAACAGGTGATCTCCTCCACGGAAACGCAACCCTCCGACACCTCTCCTTAGCAAATTTACAATGCCCAACCATGCCCACTTGGATGGTTATAATCATGGGGTAACTGAAGTTAGCTTGCTTGAACCATCGCTGCGACTACTTAATTCGGTGGGTGGAGCTTTCAAGCATACACATGGCCTCATATATGTTCCCTTAAACATCAGCCCAAGAGGAAACGGATCAAGAGATACGCCCAGCTAGCTGAAACTTTGGGCCCTTGACACATGCGGCACTCAGTCCGGGAAGGCCATATTCCAGGTGTGGAGTGCATCCTTGTCCAGCGGCACCTCTGGAGCAAACCCGCAGGAGTCGTCTGTGGCTGTCTCGCTTTTTGGGTTGACCTCTTAAACAGGAAACCGGAAATAGCCTTCCTCCCACCAACATAACCTGTGGGGAGTCACCTGGAAAATAAGTTTCCTCTTGGAGGGACCCCGGGTCAGGTGCCATGTGAGTGGGGGAGAGGGTTGCATCTCCTGTCCCATTTGGTAACTGTCTTGGTAGTATATCCGCGGAAGAGAGTCCAGGCGCTTGACATCCAAGAACTCCAAAGGTCAAATTCCAAAACAGCTCGTCGGAATAGCAATGCAGCTCCCGTTCGTTTTTGTTGCCATGGTCTCATTCTTGGACCAAATCCAGCAAACTGAGCGCTCTTGGCTTACCTGCATTGAGTCCAAAATACTGACGTCAAGGTTCTGAAGCGAAGGACAACCCGCAAAAAAACATCACCTGGAAACGGAGCCATGGCGGGTGAATAGATAAACCCCTTGTATGCACAGGTTCGCCCTGGGAGCCTGAAAGCGCACACCCCTGAAAGCGCACACCGAGGTTTGTTCTCGCCAGCTGGCATTCAGGAATTTATGCCGGGGAAAGGGTACGAACTCAAAATGGGACCCTTTGGGTGACCTCAGTCGCCTGGGATTTCTCCGTAAAACAAAATCGATTGGGTTTCCTGTGTAACCATGTTGTGGACATGGGCCAATGTTCCTGTTGCTGGGTCTTGTTTTGTTCTTCCGTGGAATTGTTTGGACGTCACACTTTCTTGAGGGAACTTCTTGGGTTGTTTTAAAGGGAAACTGAAAAAGGACACCACTCCTTTTCAGCGCTTCTCCTGTTTTCAGAGATATGCAGGGAATGCGAGTTATGGAACCACCCAAATATGAACCATCCAACTGGTGGTTCCTTTAGAGCCCTGGGTTCATTCCCAAAACAGGGCTCCCTACGTCCCCGAGAAAAAAAAGAAATTGAAGAGTCACCCCACCCAGAAACGCTCTCCTTTCATGGTTCCTTCCAATTCTCATTCCAACGACCGATTGCAAAGCGATCGCAAGTGGACGCGCGCGGCGATCGCAGCGGCGCCTCTGAGGGATGGGAGGTGTCCATGAGGCTCAGAAAGGCCACCCTGGCGGGCGGGCGGCTGAACCGGCATCGACCCACTGGCCCGGAGAATTGTTTGCCATACTGTGGATGGACAAAATCCTGCACCACTTTGAAACCACGGGAAACCATAATTTGGTGGTATTTACAGGATAATCATCATTCCAGGGCTTCTTAGGTGGTGCAGGATTTTGTCCATCCACAGTAGGAAGCCCCCAGAAAATGCCATATCAACCCCGAAATATTGTTTGTTGGCATTAGAAAGGAATCGTCATTGCAGGGCTTCTTAGGCGCAGGATTTCGTCCATCCACAGTACAAAGCCCCCAGAAAATGCCGCGGTTGAGTTTAACCTCTGAGATTTGAGCAGAGCTCTTCCTCAAAGGTTGGTGGATACGAAATCAACAAATGTCCAAAGGGTTTCCAACAACCGGGAAAATGGAGGATTTAGCCTCTCCACACATCATTTCCCTGCGTATCCACGACGGCAACATCTTTGTCGTAGGGGTATGCACCTTTCCGTTCTTGTCTTTCGGGGTGGGGATCCCAACATGTCCGCGAACGGCAGCGCAGCTACAAAGTGCTCAGGAAAAAGACCGGGAAACAGTACGCTGGTCTCATTTTGTCGACGCCCTCCATTTCATTGTGACTGTCAATTCTAGGGTTCCACTTTTTGACTACCCCGCAGTTGGCTTGAACCCAGGGGTGGTTCATTCCCCCCCAAAAGGAGAACCTCTTGGTTTAAGCCTATCTTGGGGTAGTCGAAAAGAGGAACCCTGGTGAATTCTGCGTTCTTCGGGATGGGGCATGTCTAGCAAACACCATTTGGCGCTTCAGGCGGCTGCATCGGCTCCGAGCGCTGCACAATCAGGCCGAAGAGACGACCGCTGCGCAATCAGCTTGACCACATCTCTGTAGGCAAGGGTACTGCGGTTGCCATGCAAGCAAATGCACCGCATCAAGCACTGACAACGGAGTAAGACAAGTCTGCCTGATCGCCTGATCTTGAAACATGTGCCAAACAGTTGGTCCATTAGCTGGTGAAGTCGGGAAAGAAGGTGCCCATCATCAGGCAAAAAGCCGCTTCAGCCGAACAACTCAACTCTGGCACTTGACGCCCCTCAAGCTAGTGATACCTCATGGCAGTTACATGGGCCGAGGAGTTGTCTGGCTGGCTAAGCCATATCAACCTCCATTGGTCTGTTGCTGTGCCGAGCGAATTACTGTGGGTAGCTGCCAGTCGCCCTGGTAAAAAAATGGAACCCTTTTGAAGTCGACCGTTTTTGAGACCCACCCAGAAAAAAACTATGGTTGAAACCATAACCTTTGCCCAATGTGCCGTCTGACTCGATAAGCAGCTACTCTGAGCCCGGCAGTCCTCCCCTCGTGCACTTGCAGGTTCATGACTTGCCGCAGGATGCTCTTCCTGGAACCGGAAAGCCAATGAGTCCAAAGGTTGGGAGGTGTGTTGAGTGGGTTCTAACACATTTGCACCCTGCAGATGCTACATTCCCTTGGTGCAAGCTAGAGGCCATTGATTAGAACGCGTTTAGGGTCCGGTGAAAAGCTGCCCAGCGCGTCCAAACTTACATTCTTTGACGGCGGCCAAGTGTTGAGTTCGCAGTTGTGCCTGGCAATTTCGTCCCATGCATACCAGAAACCATTGCTGGAACATTTGACGCAATCAAGGGAGCACTTGCCGCCTTGGCTGGCCAAAGGGGGAATTTGTGCTTTCTCATTTTGGGGGGTCTCAAAGTGCTGAAATGATCAAGGGAAGAAGGGTTCGAGTGGGCCTTTTGATAGACTAGGCGGGCTTTTTTGCCCAAAACTCCCAGGTTGGTTTTCAGTTGAGACACAATGAAAACCCGGTATTAAAATGGTCCACCCAGAACCATGTAAAGAATTAAGAAGGCGGCCGCAACTATTTCTGGCTGGGACTGCCCCTTACTAACCTTCATCTACCCGGGTTTTGATTGTGGCTCAGTTTTTCACCAGGTCCTCTTCATGCCAGAGAAGCCCACAGGCTGCGGGATTCCAAGCAGCATGTTCTCCTGACCAAAGGACCACGGGGCGTATCACTCTCAACATGTCTCTCTCCAAAATGGGTGGCTCGTTTTGAAGAATATAGAATGGGACCCCCAAAGTAGATTTCGCTGTTAAACACCCGACCAAAAAGGGGTACCTCCCTGAATTTGATGCTCGTGCAAGGGGAGAAACGGCCGCACAATCGCAAAGAAGAGAAACAACTTGAACTCTACAACCAACACGGACAAACAAAAAGAGAACATCATGTTGTCAATGGACTGGGTTCCGCACCTGGTGCGAACCGGGTTTGCCCACATCCATGCCCCATAACCTTCACATTACATTCTCCCATAACAAACATCGCCAGGTTCTTGGATGGACGGGTGTCAAACTATTGGAGACAACTGGAACGATGGTTGAAAAGAATGGGGAATCAACCAGTAGAAAAGTGGAATGCCGTCTATGTAAAAACCAAACTACCCAAAGAACACACGTCTATGACTTACTCCGCCTTTTTGTTGGGACTGTCATGACTCCCCAAAAAAATCCCCCCCCCCCCGAACCCCGAGAGTCCAACTCGTGGTGTGTGTCTAGATTCAGGGACCCCACAAAATGCCCGTTTAATAAAGATTTAAACCAGCCCCAAAAGGGGTACCCTCACAAAACAAGTACCCTCCCATCCACACACATGGAACCTCACCCAGGGGTCCTGCAAGGCATGTTTTCCCTTTCAGAGGCACCTTCAGGCGCGTTCCATGTTGGTGGTCCCTGGAAAAAACAAATCCGACTCCAAGTGGTCTCGTCCGTATGCTCCAAAAAACTTCCGCCCGCCTCTCTGAACCTCAGACGCCTCGAGAACCTCAGCACCTCTTGGGCTCTTCGGGGCTCGGGCCAGGTCGGAGATGTGCACGTAGCCCAAGAAGTTCCGATCCACCTCCACCCAGGTCTCCCGCCTGGGACTGCGACTGCTGACTCTGCGGGAGGGGAGGCCTGGAAGTTCCAGGGAGGAACAAACCGGGCACCCGACCGGCCTCGTTCTTTTTGCACTGACCGAAGCCACCCCCAAAGCCGTGGGTCAAAGGGAAACGACCACCTTTGTCTGACCTTGATAGCCCCTGCAAACAGTCAAAATCATGACTTCAGTCCAAGGGTGGCTTTGCCAGTTGTTCCCAAAATGGCTCAGAGCACTGGAGGTACACGATGGAAAATCCACCCTTGGAGGTTGCTAGCGGATTGATATTGATCTCAATTGTGATCGGTTTGATAAATCCCTGGTCGATTTTGAGCAGGTGTCGCCTCCCATAAAAGGTCCAAACCCCCACTAAAAGGGCACACCCCATCAATATCAACCAGGGATTCTACCTATAGTTCCGGAGTTCCCAGCGAGTTTCCCCGTCTGGTTGACACTTAGCTCCGATAACCACTCGCTGGACGGGAAGAGGGAGTTCACTGGGTTGGAGGCTCGAATCTTTGTGTGCGATGTTTTTCCCGGCGATGACCGAGAATGAGATTGGGTGTGGTCATGTGTGCCCTAGGTATTTTGGCCGCTGAAGTTATGAACAGTATATGAAAAACACAGTTCCCTTATAAAATGCGCTATTGCCCGAAACATATTAGTGAATTACCCTACTTTTGTGGGTAGTTTGAGGGTCATAGTCGCCTTCCAAAAACTGTCCACGTCGACAGAAACGGCTTTCGAGCTGCTAGAGACCTGCGAGTTCGAGTTCCGGTCAGTTTGCCCCCACGGAAAACCCGTGTGCAAGGCTGGTGCGGAAAAGCAATCCGAGGACCCAGTCGTTTCAACCCCTGTTTTATGTGGGAGAAACCAACATTTGCCAAATGTGGAGCTCAAAAACGAAGGGTGCGGGGTTGGCCCAAAACGTTGGGCCCCAAATTCGGCCAATACCAGTCCTAAATTTCCGGATCTCGGACCCCAGTGCGGCTTCTGGCAGTAACTCGCTTAGTCTGGACGATCAAGCAACCTGTTCACCAAAAGGTTCAACGTGTGCCAACTCAACAAGCAATTTCTGTGTCAACATTGATGGATTCCGCTGGTAGATAAGTAGAATCACACTGATATTGGTGGAATTTATTTATTTTCAACCAACCTGCTCTCAAATTGGAAACCCGTGCCGGGCGGTTTTAAAACCCAAGCCCAAAGGCGTGCACTCAGCGCAATCGCTTTCTCAAACCAGGCCAGCCGGACAGCGCCGTCATGCACACCATGAAGTCCTCAAGCTCGATCAGCTCATGGACTTGACCATACCTGGAGGACCAAAGATTAAAAGCCCATCAACTCCTCAAAAACCAGGTCCTCCAGTAGAGAGGTTAGAAGGCTATTTTAGTAGGGGAACCCTCCCCCAAAAAAGGGTAACAGGGCAATACTGGGGGACCTAGGAAATATGGGACCATACTGTGGATGGTTGCGAAATCCATTTCACGCCACCGTTCAGAAACCCAACAGAATGATATGATCCCTGTCAATACCAGCAAACAATGGTGTATCATGGTTCTTGGGTGGTGCAGGATTGCATCCATCCACAGTATCAAGCAAAATTGAAGCTGTGATTCTTCGCGGGCCTCAGTTTGTGGTTGGTGTACTCGCAACTGTGTCTATCACTATCAGCACCAGGAAGATGTTGGCGTTGGCAGGAATCCTGGTTTCGCCAGCTTCTTTTGTCTACCCTATATTGGTACAAGACAACCAACCCTGGACCACTGGATCCCAAGATCCCTGCGGCCCATGCCGCCGAGTGGTTCGGCAAGAATTTGCGCCCTCTTGGAACAACTGTTGGCACGCCTCTCACGCTTTGCAAGATGCCTCCGCTACTCCTAGAAAGCCTTTGTGCGCACGCGTCGAGCACGACCGCGACAATGAGGTTCATCATGTTGAAAAGGATGATGGCAATGTAGCTGATGAAGTACGGAAACCTCATTCCGATCGACTCCGAGCGCCAATTGAAGGAAAAGAACATCTATCCAACCTGGCCCACCCAGCCCACCTGAAACGCAATCCACGCCAAGCTGCGAGAGCCAACTTCCACAGCCACGCGGACCATCCCGCACCAACTCCTTCACGGGAGATTCAGAGGCCAGTCCGCAATGACATCGCAGGAATCCCACGAAGGTGTTTCCAGAGCATACAGCATGGGAAAAAAGGTGGCATGATCGTGCCGTGGGGTTGTGCATTTGTCATGATCTCCCACAATGTAGTGTGTGCTGTACGTGCCAATGTTACATCTGGCTTGTAGGGCAGGACCAGAAAACACCTTACGAGGTGTGGCTTGTTGACCAACCCACCCACTCAGGTCCCTGTGGCAAAGTGGCAGCATTCAAGAGAAAACTACACCCGGCGCACGAGCAACCAATCCATTTGTGCCACAAGCTTCATCTAGGTGCTTTCTGCCCAAGTCGTGACATTGATGGACAAGTGGTTGACAGGCGAATGGCTTCTCCATCAATCGCCGCATGATTCACACGCTTTAAGTTAAAACCATACTCAACACAAGCGACCCATGCATCTGCAGCGTAATCCAGGTGATTGTCGCACAAGTTGTCACATTGGCAGGCACATGGTTTCAGCATCATCGGCATGCTTCGCAGAGCGGAAATACCAGCAGCAAAATTGTAAGAAATGCAATCCACGCCAGTGAACAATGCATCTGCATCTCCAGCATCATCAAGGTCTCCGTTGGCAAAGCCACCAAGGAGATAGGCGAATGGCTTCTGCATCATCCTCATGAATCGGGCTTGCTATATCTCCAAATGCAAGAGAGTGCTTCCAAGACCAGCAAACGCTCGTCACAAGCGAAACAACTAGCAGCATTGCGAACATGCGAAGTAGACGGCCAAGTTGGGACATTGGCAAGCAAGAGGCTTCAGGATCAGCAGGTCTTGCACTTCAACATGTGTTTTGTGTTATTTTCAGCAAGACTGGCTTGGCAAAAGGCATGTCTTCGCACAACAAAACGACACATATGAATATATATATATATACACATACATATATATATATATGTATACATGACACAGCATTCAGCATTCAAACGCTCCAAAAAGATGGGGATGTGGCTTGCCACGTGCAAGAAGCAAGAAGTGGTCCTCATAGCTCTGGGGATTGCTCGTGCAACCGGGCTTGTCTTCCGCAATGTCATACATGATCTCGTGCCATCTGCGCGGGCAAAAGGCTTTCCAAGCAGTGGGGCTAAACTTGCTGGTTCTCAGCAGGGAATTGAGTTGGAATGACCCCTGCAAACCATCCCTTGTAGTTTCCTGTATAAACATCCCCTTCCGGTTCATTCCCACCCTGGGTCATTCCCTACTGACCACCAGCGAGAAAACATGCTTCCATGTTCGTTTTGCTTGTGTTGCCCGTTTTCATCTGAGACAAAAACAGGGAGTTGACAGGACCCGTTGGGTATGGCCCCCAGTTCTTGGGCCTCCTGAGACTGGATCATGAAGGCTGTTGTGATGAGGCTGGGGCCAAGCGCGTTGGCATGATGACAATCAAGCACTCTACAGCATGTACAGTACAAGGGACTTCCGGCCGCTGGTTCCCGGATCATTCCATTCTATTCAAGCCAAATTGAATCGGCCAAACCGACGCAAACAGAAGGAGAGAGCTTGCTGTAATCAAGGGTTGCCAGCTTTTTGAAGTAGGCACAGAAATGTCTTTTGTTGACATTGAAGCTGGGTGACGATGGCTGGCAAAAAGCCCCAAGGCTTCATTCACAATCGGGCTTACCATCCGAAGCGTGGCTTCCCAACATATTCAGCACATAGGGCAAATGGCCGACTTCCCTTTGGATGTTGCCCCAGTTTCAAGGAGGGGGCCTTAACCGATCCGCCTGGGGACCCACACTGCGGTGCTCCGGCAGGGGTTGAGGGGCGGCGTTCCCTTGAAAACTTCCTTCTGGTTGGTGTTGGGGATACTCTCCTTGGGCTTGTGTTTTCAGCTTCCCTCTACTTGTGGTTTGGATTGCTGGTCGGGAGGTTAGGTGGTGGTTTCCTGGCTTTCCATTTTCTCTACGAGGACCAGGGGTTCAAACCCCCAAACCATTCAAACCCAGTTTGTGGTTACCTGACTTGTGGCCCCATGTTTTTGGTACACTACCACAAAAACATGGTCCAGTTGCTCATGCTGCATCCCTCGCCTGCAAACGAATCATGAAACCAAATGCTTCCGGCCTCTCCCCAGTGGCACAGCGCAGGAGCAGAAGAAAGGCATTGCCGAAGCTGTAGAAATTCGTCTGGCAAGGTGTCTTCAAAAACATACTCGACGCCGTGGCTAGTTTCCGGAGAGCATTCACATCTAGAACCCGCTCATGAAACAAACACACCAGTGGTTCATGGTTGATGTGCATTGGTTCCCTCAGCTTTACCTTACACAATCCAACAAGCAGGCATGCAACAACATTTCTCCCAGCCCTCGAAAAGAACCTCGTGAAGCTTCGCCGGCCGCGCATCAACTTCCGGGTAGCCGTTCTCTGCACTAGCCGCCTGCGAGCAATGTCTTGAGACGATCTGATGGCAGTGACGAGGATTTCTACAAATGTCCCTTTAACAAAGATTTAAACCAGCCCCCAAAAAGGGTACCCTCACACAAACAGTACCCTCCCATCTCCACATGGAACCTCACTCAGGGGTCCTGGAAGGCGCTTTAAAACACTTTCCAGGGCTTTGCGTTCGGCTTTGAGAACCTTCGATCTTCAACCGGCTTAGGTGACCGGAGCTTCGCACTGTGGATGGATTTTACCTAAACGGCTCGAGCATTCAAGTCTCCCTTGAACTATAAGGAGAACGGTTGCCACATACTGTGGCTGAATGAAATCCAATTCGCACCAGCTAAGAACCCATGGTTGAAACCACTGTTTGTGGGTACTTACAGGGGGATCATATCATTCCGCTAGGTTTCTTTGGTTTGTACCTAAGAAGGCTTGAACATCCAATTAACCCTTGAACCACAAGGATAATATCCCCCTGCCCAAGATCCCCAGCTCTAAGCTACCTCCAACGTGGTGGCTGCCGCGAATCTCGCCTCCGCACTCTGGATGGTTCCGAAGAGCCCCACACCCAAACATGCATACCTCAGGCACAGGCACCGGGGCTGAGCCATGCCCGCTGCTGCTGCGGAAACTCTGGAACCATGATTATTTCGAAACACTTTATCTTGGTTGACTTTGGAAGGGGAGCAAACATCTAAATTTTAGCAGTCAAGTGGTGATTTCCCACTAAACCACAATAAGCACAGTTGTGAAATGTTTCCCAACAACAACAATGCTATCAGGTGTTCTTTCAACAAGGAACTGAGCCGAGTCAAACCAATTCGCTCTGTCTCAGCGCCGTTTGGCCAATTCCCTGGAAGCCGCCAGAAATGCAAGCGTTTGGAGGGGTCATTCGGTCCTTCCTCAGATTTCATGACTTCTGATGCGTAGCCAACTGTTTCTTACCACTCTGTTCCTCATACTTTGGGCAATAGATTGAAAGTTCTCGGTGAAATCTCCAGGCCGACCTCCGCCCATACTTGAGATCCGCTCGTCGTGTAGACACTTTGCTCTTTCTTCAAACGGCACAGCCATTTGCTAGTAGACACCCCCATTTTCCGTTCCCAAACGGGCCTGTCAGCTGGAAAAAAACAGTCAGCAGCACAACAAGCACTTCCATTTGCTTAAGCCCCCTGGAAAAAATGAACACATATTTCCAGCAGGGATAGATTCCATGTGAAACAAAAACGGGAAAACACATATATGTATATATGTATGTATACATATATACATATGTATATATATATATATATATATATTATACTTTCCTCTCAGCACATGGACGAGTAGCCCTGACGCCATTCCGATCCGCCCGGAAGCTCCGAAGCGGCTTAGGCTTGGGCATGAACATCAGGAGCGTTAGCAGCGCGCAGACTTGGAATAGCCCGGGCCTCGGATTGCTTCAAGTTGGAACTGAAAGGTGCTGGAGATGCCCTGAGCGCACATCTCAAGGGGATCTCAAGTCCCTTGGTTCTTACACTTCACACAACTGGACTAGTCTCCCCATTCCAGGTTTTGCTAGTGGCAGGCAATGACCAACAAACCCAGTGTGGAGCTGCATCAGAGCCAAATCATCCACCCATTTTCACCCCATGCTCTCTACATCAAATGTAAGCTTGCCCCTCCTTGCGGAGCCGAGCTGCAATGCCACCCAGACGGTGCTCGTGATGCTGTCCATGAACCATGCATAGCGCACCTGCCCCGCACCCACCTCACCTTTCCCCCGGCCCCCCAGGCCGAGCAAAGCAACTTGCCAAATCAGCCCCACGGATGGTTCAATGGTTGTCCTTTGATCCGTTTCTACAACAATCAGGCAAAAGCCAGAAACAAGTCCTTTCCCTAAACAACAGGATCACTCCAACGATCCTCTCACATAGACCTGGAATAGGAACACGAGAGGGTCACATACTGCGGATGGTTGCGAAATCCATTTCGCACCACCTGAGAAACCATAGTTCAAACCTTCGAGAGCTTCATAGGTGCTGCGTTGGATGGATTTCGCGTCCATCCACAGTACCATCTGGAGCTCCTTGGCTCCCGACCAGCATGAGGATCCGCAGGATTTGGAAGCCGCCAAGGATCTGCGTCATCACCCCCTGCCAATCCACCGGTTCCTTTTGCGACCGCTTCTTGGGAGTTTGGCATAATGTTGACCCCATACCAACAAACCCCAATAAACCCCATTTTATCAATAAGAGGCTATTGATTAATACGTGGTCATCATAACCTCCAAGAGGACAACTACTCCATCTAAAGGAAGGCCACGCATTCCCATCAGGTAGCTTGGAGACGGGCATGGTGCGTTTTCTTTTGTTTTTCCTTTTTTTTCCCCTCTGCAGCTTCCTTCTGTGGGACAAAAGAGTAGCCCCAACATGTCGAGTCCCATTGAGGAGACAGGCCACTGTTTGAACATGTTTGAACCACTTGCCTTTAAACCAGCTCTTGTTTCCGCTTTAGAGGGTCCGCTGGTTTAAAGCAAGCAACACGTGGGTGCGTTGTTTGAGGGAAACTACACTTTTCTGCCTCTTGGTTTAATAACAGGAAGCCTTTTTTTGTGGGGCGGGGGAGAGGGCATTTTTTCGCCTAGCCATGTCCTACCTCTGGTTTTCCAGGGCCCTCCCCCGATAGGGAGGGCCCCCCATCCCAGCGGTTTTCACCAAGGCCTTCTCCGCCACAAAGGCATTGACGAGGACGCCGATCAGCGACCTGACTTGAGGTTTGAGAAAGTCGTTCAGAAGGCCGACATGAACATGGGGATTTGCGGGGTTCTGGAAAAAACGACTTTAGGTCATGATCATGGAAGAATGGTGTAGTGTGTGTGTGTGTAGTTGTGTAAGCCACTTCTAGTTATGTTGCACGTGATCAGGAGACTGACGCGCTGTCAAAACACCACATTGGATGGGGCACATCGCGGAGGGGCCCGAGTGGTATGCAATCTCGGATAGGGCATCGGCATGAGCCACAAGTGCCTGATTTGAAAAGAAAGGATTGCTTTCCTACAAAGCAGAACCTACGGGCCTCGCTGTGTGTGAAGGATGGAACACTTCAAGTCCATTCTGATCCATGTGGGATGGCACACACCCACCAAATGAAGCCCCCGGTTTGGGGGGGAACTTGTCTACTTGTTTGGTGGGAAAGACGTTTTTGCCTCATTCTGCTCCCCCTTACGTCGTTTCCGACGTTCCGCTTGCAGTCTGCAAGCGACGCTGCCTGCAAGCGGTTCACGTTCAGGCATCGTAGGCATGCCAAGGCTGCAAACTTTGTCCAACCCCTTAGGGCTTGGCCCTGCCTAGCTTGACTTAAAATTGGAAGACGCCCCCAGCACCTAAAAAGGATTGCTCTACATACCCCGATCACATTAGTTGACATTCATCAAAATCCACCAAACGTGGCCCAGCTCGGTACACTGAGGTTTCATCGTTGGCCCCTAAAGTATAGCACCATTTTTGCTTGAAGACCCAAGCGTCTTCAGAAAAAATGGACCGCGACTGGGGACTCGCTTGGTCCCAGGCCCGGTGATGGCGAAGCTGTCGTAGGCGTGCCACTTGTCCTGACCCGAGACGGAAAGGCTCTCGTCGCTGGATTGGGGTGGGGTGGGAAACTTGAAGCGTCGCCAGCACCCCCAAACAACTGGTTTTGCCGATTTGCAAACCCAAGTGCTGGCCCAAAAGCAGTTGTTAGGGAGTGCTGATGGGTGCTGGCAGGGGATTTGTTTTAGGGAAATTCCTTGGGGCTTTAAAGGAAACCCTTTGCGATCACAAGGAAGCCACCAGCTGGACGGTTCATACAAGGGGTCCGAAATTCTCTGAGAACCAGCAAGTTTCCTGGGAAATCCAGTCCGAAACTCTGAAACCCGGCTTTACATTGGGGCCATCCTAGCCGGTTTTCGCAGGGCTTGAACTTCTACCCTTCACTTCGTCATAGGGTTTTTCCAACAAAAACAAGGCCGCCAGAAAAAAGCTGCGCTGCCGCGTTCGAGAAGCGGTCGCGCCTTGAAGAAATCGGTGCTGTACACGAAGATCTTGATCCCAAGCTGGGGCGAAGGGTCGAGGGCACGGGTCCTTTTGGACAACAATATGGTGGACCAGCTGCGTGTACGTGAAACCAGTGGAACACATTGACATATTCTCTGTCGGCTTGACCTCGCAAGCACAGCTATGGTCCATTCTTTTGGATGCTGTGTTGGTGCCAAGGAATATCTAAAAGTTCTGATTGTTACAAGCACTGAGACCCCTCATTGGTTTGCAAAGGTTGTACCAAGCAGCATCGATGCTTGCCATGGACGGCACAGCACCATGGTAACACCAAAAAGAAAGGGAGTGATGAGACTTCAATCTGGGTGAATTATAATATTTGTTTAGCAGCCTGAAAGAATGTGTTTGGGGGGGGTCATTCCCCGCATAAACCACCATTTGGGGTGAGCTCGTGTGAGGTCGTTACATTTCACCCAGTTCAATGGCTCAAGATGTCCGCAATTAGATTCAATGGTTCACCGGTCACGCAAGCCACCCGTTAGATGCGGGCCACTGGCTTTAGAGCCAGGGGTCGAACGGAAGGCTCAGTCGGCTCAATGTCACTGGGTACGTGGGACGTGTATCCGAAGCATTGGCGACACCTGCGCTGCCTCACTGAATTTTGGAAACTTGGTTCATTCGGGCTGGAGGTCTTGCATTTTTGGACGAACAGGGGCGCATGCAAACGCAACATAAGCAGTAGTAGGCACGAAACATGCGAATCGGTTTGCTGCGGGCATGGGCCCTCATGGTTTGCTTAAAACGCAACACGACAGGCTTCCCCCACTCTCGAAAAGTAATCCGGACCTATGACAGCACTGTGCTTAGGGGAATCTCCACTAGCAAGAGAGCCTCGTGCTCGGTAGTCATTCTATCTGCCGTGTGCCTAGGTGTCCTTTTGGACACCTTGATGGCAATGGTTGATACTTAAATCAAGCTGAAACATTTGGAACCCTCCCACGTTCAAATCAAACAGACCGAAAACAAAGTACACCTACTTGGATGTTCAACCCACTTCCAGTAATAAGTGGGTTGTGCCAAAATTACTTGGATGGTCTACGAAATTGTTCCAAGGACACCACTGGTCATGCAACAAACGTCTCCATAGTTTCACTGATTGCGAGATGATCATGGAAATTATGGGTACTCCATGTCAAAAGCATGGTGAAGTGGTAACACCATGTCTATTTGGGATGCTCAACAATGTCGGGGTCTCCCTAATCCTTATCTAATCCATAGTGGGCAACCACTACCATCTGGCATAAGGATTTGGTCTTCTGTTGAGTCTGCGTCCAGCCTGAAGGCTGAGTTGGCGCCATTCGTTGGAAGACGCTGGCACCACTGAGGCTTCTGCATTGCAACAGGCGGCTTTTACCCCTCCCTCCCAGCCTCGATGGTGAAGAGTCCAAGCAGCAAGCCGCTCAGGGTCCTAACGCTGACCACCAGGGTTGCGTTGCACGAGAATCCCTTTAGCCCCTTTGGTTCAGGCTAAACCAATCCCCCTCACCTCGCCTCGCCGACATGGACAAAGATCTTATTTGTTCGCATGGGACGAAATTGGCCAACGCTTCCCTAAGGGTTGAAAACCCTCCAGAACTATCCAAGGATACTGCGGTTGACCCTCTGACACTCCAGGCTAGACGTGGGAAGTAGTGACCACTTAGGTCATGGTTACACTAACCCTACTTTCCCATCATTTATAACATTACAACCTACTGCCGTGAGTTGAGCATCTGAGTCCCTCTCCCATCATTTCGGTATGTGTTAAACTAGGGGTACCCTCAAAACGCCTTTTCCCCAACTGGGGTCTTGAACATGAACATTTGAAAAAAGAAACGCACCTCATCACAATCCGCAGTGCAAGGGTTGCCGGACTGCCGGACCCTTCCACCCCACCCCTTTGAGCTCGGTGGCGGGCTCACATATCACATCGCTATAGGCCGGGCCTCCGAAAATCCACCAGCTCCGGGTTCAACACCGGAGAGATGGCCCTCGGCTGGGTCCGAATGCAAACCACCCCGGGGGCTGATTTTGGGGTTGGGGCCGTAGGTTCAGCGACACTCAGTAAGGCCCAACTTGGGGACCTGGAAAGATATTTGATGATCAAGTTTTCGGGGCCATGGCTTAAAATGGACCAAAGCACAGAAACCCAAACAAACAATCCAGCGACTTCGGTAGAAAAGGGATTGATTGGAACCATCCAGCTGTTGGTGATTGTGTTTCTGCCTTTGCGGGAACCTCACTAGCTAGGTCCTCCAGTAGAGAGGTTGGAATAAGGGGGCCCTTTTTTTCGGCAGTCTAGTTTAGTAGGTCAAAAAAGGGGTAAAAGGGCACTACTGGGGGCCCTAGCTAGACAAAGGTCACGAAGAGTGGAATCCACTGAGCAACTGGGTGATGCAGTTTACATGCGTTCCCTTGAAAACGAGAGAAACAACTGCTAAACCGGCAAACCTGCCTGTCAAACTTAGGGTTTAGCCTTCCACACATCAATTCCCTTGTGCCCACAAATGATACATGTAGCGCTACAACCCCCCCCTATATGGCTAATCGGTGGCCAGAAGAGAATTCACAAAGCCTCCCACCACATCAACATGGGTCCTGGAAGACCATTTTCCTTTTGACACAAACAAAAGCTGTCAGGTTCCATGCTACTTGCTTGGAGGGTAAGCTATGGCCATGATACGCGTGTACGTCCAACCGGGATGCCGGCAGCACGATGGCATTGCTCAGGATGCCCACGAAGATGAAGCTCCGCGATACTCGGTGCCTGACAGTTTGGTCACAAAACCAATTGGCAAATCTATGTTGGGGTGGGGATTGGCGAATCTATCTGTTCAAAGGTGGGCAAGGAAAGACCGGCCGAAGATGGCGACGTGATGTGGCGCGATCGACATGCGCAATCTGGACACCCTTTTCCTGCAAGTCCTGGGTCGAATAAGTTTGCCAAGGATCAAAGCAAGATTCCAGTGTTAGGATAGGATTTTCTGGCACGGGCACACGTAAATCAGCCATCGTTCAGTGAATCTTGGATGAGAGAACAAATCAGAACCTAGAGCCAACCGAGGAGCTTTTCGTCTGCGCAACTGCCGGAGGGTTGGCCAATACGATTTCCATAATCCCTATTGGAAAGCCACTACAAAGGGGACCAAATCCTTGCGCAACCAAGGTAAGGATTAAGGATTGCCTTTGAACTGCCCAGTCAGAAACCCTGGAATGATCATTCCCCTGCTGATACCCAACAAACAATGGTTTCAACCATGGCTTCTTAGGTGGTGCGAGAAGCGAATTTCGTCCATCCACAGTATGTCGCCCTAGGGGCTCATCTTCTATAAGGAACCTTAGGTGGTGCGAGAAGCGGCGGATTTTGCAACCATCCACAAAGCGAGCACAAACAAACCTCTCCGGAGCAACCGGTCTCTTTCCGCGCGAGCAACCGGCTGGGCCGGGGACTCGATGATGTACTTCAAGCGCTGCCGCGTCGCTGAGAAACATTTGCCTGCGCTCTGTGAGCGGGGCTATGGCGGTGGGAGCCAGAGGCTGTGGGTTGATGGCCTGTTGTAGCTCGATCCAAGCAACATCTAGTGTACCTAAGGACAACAAAATCTCTGGAACTGTTCTTGTCACTATCACAAACGAATTCGGCTTCGAACTTGCACACCCGCGGGGCAACCAACTGGCCAACGCTGCGTCACGGTCCAAAATCTCTGGGTCATGGTCATGGTTCCCGCAGAACGGAGCCCAATCAAGACTATGCAACAAATACTGGGTTAATGACCGTCACCATGAACCCCAAGTACCTTAGTCCCTATGCTTGTGCTGGCGCAGTATCACGCCACACTGTCCGATTTGGCGCGGCATTTTAGTTTGGGACCTTTTTGTGGACACTGTTTGCACATGTCATGTCCACCACTGCTAGGTACTCTTACCTCTAGGTTTTACGTGATGACGTCACCTTTCCCTGGTTCATAATGACCTGTCTGGAAGATGTGGGTCCACCAAACATGGTTCCGGGTCTTCCCATTCAAACCTTGGATGTTCAACCCTTGGGTAATCGTGATTCTGAGAGAACTACCCCCAGTTTGCCTCAAATGCAACCATCAATCTTGGTTGCAGTTGACCCCCCTGCAAAAAGTTCAACTTTTGGGGGGTTAGCGGAAAACCCCTTGATTTCCCAAAAAGTTCCAGTCTAAAGATCCAACCCAATAGCAGTGAAGCAACTAGCTACCTGCCTGGCGTCGGTTGGCAATCCAGGTGACCCAAAAACCAGCGTCAGCCTTGGTAGCCTTGTTCCCACCCAGCTGCCAGCTGCCTTTAACACCGATGCGCCGCGGCGGGATCAGAAACTCCTGAGCTGCGACAGCGGCCCTATGTTCGACCCGCTTGGTTAGCATGGGGGGGACCTGGTTCGAAGGGAAACCCAAGGAACACCATACACCCATCTACGCCCCCCCGTTTGGAGATGCTTGGTGATCTTTGGGCGCTCGCATGGAAATAGGGCCGGGTCTGCCAAAAGCACACGCTGGTCATCCCATGGGGCAAATGCTGGTCATCCCATGCACAAACCATATTGGATAAGTTACCTATCAATTAGTTTCACACATTGGGTGTACTTTTTGGAAGCCACAAGTGCCTTGAATTTCCATCATCGCAACCGTGTTGATATCACTATCTGAGTATCCATGCGTGTGTAGATAGAATATCAGTTTCCCGCTGATTTGTGGTCTGGATTGGTGTCGTGGGGATGTGAACCCCCGCTTCTTGTGGAGGGTAAATGAAAAACCCCGCCCTTCCACAAAAAACAACATGTATATAACAAACTCAACTATTTGAGTGTCTGTCTATGTATATGTACATAGGACTCATGCGCCTTGAGGGTCCAGGGAGACGGGCACCACAAGAAAAGCCTACGGCTTCCTGGAAAAAAACATGTCACACGTGCGGTTGTGGATACTGAACATCAAAAAAAACATTGAGGCGCTACCGAGGGATACACATGTGAGTAATTATTCAGACCATTGTACTTCAGACCAGGATCAAAGTTCATGGAGCAATTCCGTTGTGGGTAAGGACGATGACTCAACCACATGGGGAATTGAATTTGCCATCTACTTTCCAACCCAGGCATTCCCTTTCAGCATGCAATAGGGGGTGGTTTTTCGGGGTCATTTCCCCATTCCCTTCTGAGCACCAGCAAGCTTGACGTGACTGCAAATCATGTGCATCACACCTGTCAAGGAGCCCTCGGCTCTTTCAGGGCCCGCGCTGGGTTCAGGAGAACCTCGCGCTGCAGCTTCTTGATGAGCCTCTCCTGTGAGGGCAACCGCTTGCCTTCATACCCGGACATCTGTAAATATATACTCATTTAGTTGACTCAAGTTGAGTCTATGCGAAAGAGGGCGATGAAAGAGAGCGTGGAAGTTGGACCGCAGTGGCTTCGCGGAGGCTTGGCAAAGGCTTCGCGAAGTCGGTCCATCGTTTCTAGAAAAACCATGTCTGAATTTGCACAGTACTACTGCCATGAAGACACATAACGCACTTTAACCACGAGGTGGCTTCGCAAAGTGGTTTCGCCTGTGTCAATGTTACCGGGCTACGCGAATTGGCTTCACGGAGCTTCGCGGCACGAATGTATCACACAAGTGCCTTTACGGACCTTTTGTCAATTCCCCCCAAAGCTAAAACCCATCATCTGTTTTTCTTTGGGGTATGTATGTGTGCTATATTCATGTGCTCAATATTCCTGCGTCCGGAAAGCAAACAAGCCAAACAAGCAAGAAAAAACAAGCAAGCACACTTCAGCTGATGAATGTTTCTGTTTTTGGTGCACGCCTTTTCCGCGAGGAAAATCTCTTTCGCGAGTCTTTCGCGGCTCCATCGTCACGCCCTGTTGTTTGCAGTGTGTGCCCTGGATGCACTGTGGCTGCTGCAGTTACGCTTGCAGAAACAGTTGCCGCACAGTTCACTTGCGCTGGCAGGCTTGCAGTAGCGTTAAATGAAAGCAATCACCGTCATTCGCTCTTGCCTGCCACTTGCGCTTGCTGGGGATGCGCGAAACCTTGCAACAAGCTCCAAGGAATCAAGAATGCAAGTGTGGTGTGCAATCCTCCGTGTCAACAAGGGCGCCGGGTCTGCAAACATGCAAGTGCGCAGGCATACCTCCAAGAAACCAACGCGGAATCTTCCGCGATAAAAACAAAAAGTTTATTTTGCGAACTCCTTCGCCGATCTTGCGCGGAGGGTTTTTTAAGCCAGACGAGTGGTTGCCGAATACATAATTCCTTGCAAGGGACTTTTGATCCACCCCCATATGTGTATGTTCATCTAATATGACCATGCCACCATCCCAATGGCAGTAGCATCAACCACTCAGTTCATTGTGCTTGTTTAGGTGCTTGGGGAACCAACTACTGTGTGACAATACTACCCATTCCGATGACGAAGCCCCCCCCCCGCCTCTGAGGTGTCTGCACTTTGGCCCTTGAAGTCCGCCTTTGTGCTGGTATACCTGCCGGCTGCAAAACCGCAATCACATGGACTTGCCTTGGTGAAATCCTACAAACTCCGGGGAGTTCACATGGAACCCGGGATAGCTGGGGTCGCCCAAAAGGAGGCTCCCGGAAAGATGGTTCTTGGGTTTCGTGTGACTAAACCTGCAGAGGAGTATTTCAAGCTGGCTTGTGGTATTGTCGGACATTCAGAAACGTTAGAAGGTCGGACATACAAACAAATAACAGGATATTTCACTGTCGAATGGCAAATCTGGGACAAATCCACCAGCGCACGAGTCCACGAGAATCCCCGTGAGCAGGTTCCTGTCACGTGCTCCATCTTTGTGTGATCAAGTAAAGAAAAGCAAACAGAAAACATGGGGAAGGAAAAGCATGATCATTTTGGAGGGTCCGCCTATTTTGACGACATACCCTCATTGACTCTAGACTCATAGAGAACCCGGAGATGAAGCAGGTCCAACGTCCAGACTGCCGACGCCGCTCACTCAAAGTATGGCAGCTCCACAGCAGAAAGAAGTTGGTCAAGGCCTGTGTTGCGCGGTTTCGAACCCGTGCGCCGCGGTTCAAATTCCCGCTTGCTGGTTTTGGTCATCCGCTGACTTCCCCCCTACCTTAAGGGGAAGGGGGCCGGGGGGTCCCCAATTCCATTTATCCATTTATACAGTCTTCCCCATCAAAGGGACCATGGAACCAACTGGAGATCTCCAGGGGTCACTTTCCTCCCGCAATTCCATTTGGCTGTGGCTCAAAAAACCGGTACCAAAAAGGGTTGCCCTGGTAAGTGGAAGCATGGACCCCCCTCCTGTTTAATTTTCAGCCACACCCAAATAACCAAACCCAACAAAGGAGCAAAGTCCAGGAACTCAGGAAGTGAGGCATGGGCTTGCAAGAAACAAACTGACCACTTTGTGCAAGCCCCCTAACCTAAAAATGAACATTTTTTTGAGGGGGTGGTCATTCGCTGAAGGCAGTCGGGGCTTCCGGCCATGAAGATCACCACAGGAATGGCGTGCTCCACGTGGCTCTTGGGGCGCGGCCTTCGCTCAAACGGACCGAGGGCCATGGGCTTTGTCGGATCCGTTGAGAGGGGGTGGCGTAAAACCACGACTCTATTGTCTGAGTCGTTGTTCTATGGATTCTCTCCTTGTTCTTTTCTGTTTGTCGGTGTTCCACCTCTTGATCCTTTGAAACCAACAGCTACACTGATTTGAGAGTAGATGGCTCAACCCCAGTCGCAAGAAGCAGTAGATGGCACATCGGGTCGGGGGGGTCGTTTGTAAATAGTAGATGGCACTCCCCCCCCATTTGTTGAG